ATACATATATATATATACACACACATACACACGTTTGTCTTTTTTGTCCTTTTCGTTGGTTTTCCTAAAAAAACTTATTTGTTCTTTCCAGCTGTCCCTCAGCACTGGGCTGGTTCCTACGGCCATATCTTCACTGACACCCCATTAAGGTGCCTGGTTCTAGTCCTCCATCTGGTCCAGGGTCAGTCTGTCAGACTAAAGATCAGGTCTTTGTCAGTCCGACCAATCAGCTGACTCTTTCACTGACAGCAGTCCGGGACTCTACAGTCTCCTCGCAGCTGGGACAGGGAACGGTGGACTGGGTCACAATGTCTCTAAGCTCCCGACCTTCACCTGCCACCTCTGGCTCTGCTCGCAGCCTAGCCCTGCCATCTGACCCAGGTACCAGACTAGACCCCGATACTCCAGAGGGTACTGGAGGTCTCAAGGTGCTGTTTGACCCCCTGTCTCCTCCTAGAACCTCTCTGCTCTCTGATGGTGTGGCCAGCTCCCTCCTCCCCACCGTCCGGACATCCWCTGTGCTGGACTCCCTTCTTTGGAAGGAACCTTCTCGGCTGGGACGTGTGGTGCTCAGATCTTCGGGCTGTTCGTTCTGGTTCTGCTGGACTGGGACCAGGCTTGTCTGGGGTGTGAGGTTCTGCACATGCAGCCTGGTATGCTGAGGGTGGGACAGGGGATGTAGGTGGGGTTGGATCTGTTGTAAGTGGTGATGGGCTTGGGACTGGGACATAGGTGATGTAGACTGGGAGGAAGACGGTCTGGCTTGGGCTCTGTACTGAGTTTGGAGTTGATGGTGCAAGGGGTCTCTGGTCTGTGTTTGTGGAAGTGTCTGATGCCTAGACTGCAGGTGAGTGTGGTGTTGGGCTGGGCTCCTGGTCGGGGCTTGAGACTGAGGCTGTGCCAGGGTCCTAGTTTGGGGATGAGATTGAGACTGTGTTGGGGTTCTGGTCTGGGATCGAAACTGCGGCTGGATTGGAGTCCTGTTCTGGTTTTGACTCTGAATTTGTGTCACGGTCCTAATTTGGGTTTGACTCTGATGTTGGGTTGGAGTCCTGGTCTGGGGTTGACTCTGATGTGGTATTGGAGTTCTGGTCTGGGGTTGACTCTGATGTAGTGTTGGAGTCCTGGTCTGGGGTTGAGACTGAGGCTGTGTTGGAATCCTGGTCTGGGGTTGACTCTGATGTGGTGTTGGAGTCCTGGTCTGGGGTNGTGTTGGAGTCCTGGTCTGGGGTTGAGACTGAGGCTGTGTTGGAGTCCTGGTCTGGGGTTGACTCTGAACTTGTGTTGGAGTCCTGGTCTGGGGTTGACTCTGAACTTGTGTTGGAGTCCTGGTCTGGGGTTGACTCTGAGCTTGTGTTGGAGTCCTGGTCTGCGGTTGCAGTTGAGTCTGGGGGCATAATCGAGACTGAGATTGTGTTTGAAGTTGAGATTGAGAGGGCAGTCTTGGYAGGACTTGGGGAGGCTGAGGTGAGGTGCTGGACTGGGGATGCTGGGGTCCAGTAGTGGACTGGGGTTTTGATTGGGGATCCCTTGTCTGGGCTGGAGGACCGTGCAGGACAGGTGCAGTGTAAGGGGAAGCATGCAGAGCCTGAAGGTGCGTTCCATGTGGACCTTTAGACTGACTGTGGGTTGGGGTTTCTTGGGGCCGTGGTTGGGGTGGGATGTTTTGGGGAGGGGGGGTCTGCAGTACAGGCTGCTGGGGCTGGAGATGGGATGAAAGGGACACCTTGGTCTGAGGAAAGGACTGCGGTTGGTGGTGGGGTTGAGGGACAGGACTCTTAGGTTCTGGGAGGGGCTGAGGTTTGGGGGGAGCTTGTTGTTTGGGTCTGGGCTGTGGCACAGTCTGGGGTTTGGCTTCAGGTCTGAATGGGCTGGAAGGGGCTGAGAGACCAGGTCTTGGAGGATGAGGTGATGGTTGCTGTTCTAATGTTGACACAGCTGACTTTTGGTGGTGATGATGGTGGTGGTGGTGGTGTTTATGAGGTGGTCTTTCTTTCCTTTTGTGACTTTTTGTTGGGCTGATGCTACTGATGCTGCTGCTACTCCTTCCACCTCCACCTTCATCTTCATCCAGTTCCTGTCCTCTGCTTCCTCCTTCACCTGATCCGTTTTTTTCCTTGTGCTTTCGACCTTTGTGTGTTTTGTGTCCATGTGATTGACTGTCATCTAAAGSTGAGGCTTTCTTCTGGGGCTGGCTCTGCTCAGGGGGTGTAGGCTGAGGGTCTGAAGTTTGAGCCCCCTCTGCAGTCCTTCCCTGTTCCTCTGCAGTAGTCCTCTCTCCAGTCTCTGCACTTGTGACTGACTGAGTCGGAACACTCTCCAGCTCTTCCACGGTCTCTCTTGTTTTGCGTTTTTTGATTGGCAGGGCTGTTTCCTGAACAACAGGTTTGGAGGAAGACTCTTTGGTGGCTTTTCGTTTAGCTTCAGCAGCCAAGATGGCGGCTGCACTGTAGCTTCCAGCTGTCGAGCTACCAGATGCTGATGCAGAACAGGTGGATATCGTAGCGACTGATGGTACTGCCGAGGCCGATGCTGGTTTTCTTCCACGTTTCTTGGGAGCAGTTTGAGGAGGAGGTGGAAGTTCCTGTTCTGACTTCCTCTTTCTGCCTGGACGGGACTTAGCAGGTGGAGTAGTGGTTGGAGACCCCACCTGTAGAAAAAATACATCAACAGGGAGCATGGGCTTCAGCTTTGTTCTTCAAACAATAATCAATAAACCAGCATTGATACCAATGGCTTCATCTAGTTTGTTTGAATCTAAACAAAATACAACTCGATGCCAACCGTCACTGTCCCCCRTCACAGATGGACAGACGGCTGGATGGAGAGCATTTCTATGTCCCCTGTCTCGGTGATAGGGCACAGTAGCTGTGTTTCCATTGCAAATGTGCGCAAAACTTTGTCGATATTCTGTTAATGTTGAAAAACACAGTTTCGCAACTGCAGTGTTTCCATTAAGTAAGAAATGTTATTAAAGTCACACGTGAATACATTTGTTCTCATGATAAGTCATTACAAACATGGCAGCAATGGATGTAAACACATAGCATGTTGCTACCACGACACTAGCGCTCATCATCAGAGGAGACGTTGGCGTCATATCGATGCTTTCAAGCAACAAGCCCCTATACTTGGGAGCGGTTACGTATGCAGTGTTTTTGGGAAATTGTAGTTGGTGAGATTTAACTACTACTTCTATTTCCTGTTGTCTTCTTCTACGTCGTCTTTTTCGCCAGTAGAAACATCCGGTTGCTGATCATGTGACTCCTGTGATGCAAAAAAGTGTTTCCATTGCAGTTTTGCGGAAAACACCAATTTCAATACGGCCGAAATACCACCTTATCCTAGCGCAAAACCATTTAGTTGAAAAAAGGATGTTTTTTTCAAAAATTATGTGTTTCTATTAAGCAAATTTATTTTCGAAATCCTAATTAGCGCATTTTTATGGTCAATGGAAACACCGCTAATGATACTTGACGAACAGCACATTCCACACCTGCTTGATTAGATTAAAATCTGAAAAGTCTGGAGTCAAAGTAAACACCTTAACATGACTCATCAAGTCACTGGTGCTCACAGGGTAGCACGGTGGATCAGTGGTTAGCACTGATGCCTCATAGCAAAAAGTTTCTGGGTTTGAACCCGTTTGGACCTGGGGTCTTTCTGTGTGGAGTTGACATGTTCCCCTCCCCGCGTGGGTTTTCTCTGGTTTCTCCCCACAAACTAACAAACTAAAAACAGGATGTTAGACTGTTCAGGTCCAGGAGGACCTGTGGTCTCAGGGCGAGTTACCTGGTCAAATAAAAGTACATTTAAAAATGATTGTCTAAAGTACGTATGTACAGCGGGTAAAATAAGTATTGAACACATCACCATTTTTCTCAGTAAATATATTACTAGAGGTGCTAATGACATGAAATTTTCACCAGATGTTGGTAACAACCCAATACATACAAAGAAATCAAACCATAAATGTCCAGAAATGAAGTTATTTGTAATAATGTGGAATGGCACAGGGAAAAAGTATTGAACACATGAAGAAAGGGAGGTGTAAAAAGGCATGGAAAGCCAAGACACCAGCTGAACTCTCTCAGTAATTAGAAAACAAGCCTGCCCCTTGTCAGTGCAAGTTAATATCAGCTGGTTCAGTCCCAAATGATGGCCAGGTATCACACAAGAACCATCTGATGATGGGTAAAAGTAAAGAGCTCTCTCAAGACCTTCACAACCTTATTGTTGCAAAGCATAATGATGGCATCGGTTACAGAAGAATGTCTAAACTTCTGAAGGTTCCAGTGAGCACTGTTGGGGCCATAATTCAGAAGTGGAAAGAACATTATTTCACCATAAACCGACCACGACCAGGTGCTCCTCACAAGATTTCTGACAGAGGAGTGAAAAGAATTATCAGAAGAGTTGTCCAAGAGCCAAGGACCACATGTGGAGAGCTTCAGAAAGACCTGGAATTAGCAGGTACGTTTGTTTCAAAGAAAACAATAAGTAATGCACTGAACCACCATGGCCTATATGCATGCTCACCACRCAAGACTCCACTGCTGAAGAAACAGCATGTTGAAGCTCCTTTAAAGTTTGCTGCACAACATTTAAACAAGCCTGTGTAATACTGGGAGAATATAGTCTGGTCAGATGAGACCAACATTGAACTGTTTGGATGCCAGAATACACATCATGTTTGGAGGTCAAATGGCACTGCACATCAGCCCAAAAACACCATACCAACAGTGAAGTTTGGAGGTGGGAACATCATGGTGTGGGGCTGTTTTTCAGCATATGGTACTGGCAAACTTCAAATAATTGAAGGAAGGATGAGTGGAAAAATGTACAGAGACATTCTTGATAAAAATCTGCTTCCATCTACCAGGATGATGAAGATGAAACGTGGCTGGACATTTCAGCAAGACAATGAGCACAAACACAAAGCCAAGGAAACTCTCAGTTGGTTTCAGAGAAAGAAACTAAAGCTGCTGGAATGGCCCAGCCAATCACCTGACCTGAATCCAACAGAAAATCTATGGAAAGAACTAAAGATCAGAGTTCATAGAAGAGGTCCACGAAACCTTCAAGATTTGAAGACTGTTTGTGTGGAAGAATGGGCCAAAATCACACCTGAGCAATGCATGCCACTAGTTTCTCCATACAGGAGGCGTCTTGAAGCTGTCATTGACAACAAAGGCTTTTGTACAAAGTATTAGATAAATTTCAGTAAGTGTGTTCAATACTTTTTCCCTGTGCCATTCCACATTATTACAAATAACTTCATTTCTGGACATTTATGGTTTGATTTCTTTGTATGTATGGATCACTTGGGTTGTTACCAACATCTGGTGAAAATTTCATGTCATTAGCACCTCTAGTAATATATTTACTGAGAAAATGGTGACGTGTTCAATACTTATTTTACCTGCTGTATGTATATATATACTTTACGGAAAAATTGTAATAAATTTTGTTATTATATAGGTATGTATTTTGTTGCTATGTTTTCTTATACAGTATCTGTTTATTTTCAGGTGAGCAGAAAGATGTCGGGTGTGTTGCCTTGTGTTTTCTTGGTGCATATTTAATATATTTTCTAATCTCTCTTTCAATCTTTCCAATTACATTTCCCCCCTTTTTTCCCCTTTCTTTAAATTAAAAAAGTCACTGATGATGAAGAAATTAAGAAACTAATATTAAGTTCTTTTTTCTACTGAAGTGACAAAAAGAAAAAACTATTGGCAAGGGAAATAATTATATTATTATTATTATTATTATTTTTTATAATTTATTTCTCATAAATGTGCAACATCCTGCACCATTGACAAACTAACATTCAAACATTAAGTTTACATTTTTTATGACGCTTTTGACATTTTGGTTAACTTTCAGATACTTTAATAAAACACATTTGGCTCTAAAGTTGATGTCTCCAGTGTTCCCTCAGCTCAACAGTCTCCATCACTGTTGGTGTCCATCAGGGGGCTTCCATTATTACAGGTACCAATGATTTTCAGTCCACAGCTCCTGAGCCCCTGAACATGGCATATTCAGATTCCAGGTCCTCAAACCCAATCGGGACATGAAAATAAAACCCTCTCTGTGGTGAGAGGTAAAGATCTCAGGGGCTTTTGGCTTTACTGGGCCTGTGTGAAATCTTTCACTACTGGATCCAAGTCATCACAAGGTGGTGATCTGATGACAGTTGATCTGATGACAGTTCTACTCTTCACCTGGATGTTTAAGTCTTAGGGCTGCAGGTTGGACTATACAGAACTGATCATCACTCTTTGTCCCAAGGTGGCCTGATGCCAAGTATACTTATAATAATAACAATACTTTACTCATACAGCACCTTTTAAAACAAATGTTACAAAGTGTTTTACATTCAAAATTCAATTAAAACAATGAATGTACATGAAACCAAATCATCTAAAATACTGTAACTAAGAATGTAAGACAAAATAAAATAATAAAAATACAAAAGAAATTCAAATATTAAAATCCTTTTTACAAAAGTATGTTTTAACTAATGATTTAAAGAAGAGAATGAATAGGCCGCGGTGAGAGGCGCCGGGCAGGAGTGGGCATACTTGTTGCCCCCCATCTTGGCGCCTGTA